CCGTTTGCTCTGCCCCAGGCGTCCCCAAGTCAGCCACTGCTGAAACTGACCAGCGGTGACTACAGGAAGCCCGAGGCAGAGTTGCTCTGCCCCAAGCTTCCTGGAATCAGCCGCTGATCAGTTTCAGCAGCAGCTGACTTGGGGACGCCTGGATTTCTTAAGTTGAATCTGTATGTAAGTCAGAACTGGCATCCAGATTCAGCCGCGGTTGAAACTGATCAGTTTCAGCAGCGGCTGATGCCAGTTCCGACTTACATACAGATTCAACTTAAGAACAAACCTACAGTCCCTATCTTAGGGACCTACGTAACCCGGGGACTGCCTGTAAACATGAATTCTGCTAATTACTTGCGAGACAGAATGAAATTTATCTGTCTCTTTTCAAGAAGAGTTGGCTCTGCAGGTCTAACAGATCCAGGTGTAACTACATAAGAACAGGTCTGCCTATTTAAGAATAGTAGGAACTGAATTTTGTCACTTTAATCTACATTTATTACCTTAAACACACAGAGGGAGCAGATCCATCCAAGAGGGGACCCATTTCATGACAGTAATTTTCAATAAGTTTAAAGATTTACACAGTTTTTTTCACATATTCAAAAGATGCTTAGCACATTCATACATAACATTTCCATGTAGTTTTTAACCATGCTTCTCATTTATTTTCTGTAATGTTTATGTTTATCTTCTGCAATGTCCAATTTAATGCTAAAACAGTCTGATTTACAGTTCTTGTTTATTTGTAGACAAAGCAAGGAATGTGTTTAGACTTGAAAAATGGGATATCAGTTAATTTTCTCTATTGTTTTTAGTTGCAGCACAACCTTTAAGATGAAAAATACAGACTGCTGTTAAGATCATTAATATTTTCATAAGCATTACATCATGTTATTTAAGCATATAGCGTTAAATGTGTAATCTCTGCTGTAGACTGGAAGATTTTCTCATAATCTAAGTGGTCAGGAGATCATGCCCTTATATTTTCAAGATCACAGCAAGAGAGGAAGAAAATGAGATCAATATTTACATGGATTGGACTTTTAAAGCCTAAGCCAATGCCACTAAAGTCAATAAGCTCTGGAGCAGGCCCTTCATGAGATTTTTTTTTCTTTGCAGCAATGCTTATTTTGGAAAATATCAGAACCAGACAGTAGTTCTCCTCTCCCATTCCTTCTTAACTTTCTAAATTATTATTTGTATTACCACAGCATTTAGAAGTGCACCTACACAGCACCTTTACATTGAAATAAGCTATGCAAATGGTCTAACTTATTTTGAGGTAATTTCGAAATAAAGTGCTATTCTGACAAATCCCTTAACCCTCGAGGAATGAGGGTTACAGGGATGCCGGAATAGCATGCCTGTTATTTCAAAATATATTTCGAAATAACAGGCATGTTTAAAGATGTGGAATTGCTATTTTGGAATACTTCCAGTATCTCGATATAGCCCTGCTGTCTAGACGTAGCCTAGAAGCCCTAGTGAGAGACAGGACCCCACCGAATATGTGATGTACAAACACAGATAAAAAAGTTCCTTGCGCAGGGACTTACAATCTAAATATATGACATGCGACAACAAACAGATGCAGATGTAACACACACTTACAGCGGTTCACTGCCCTATGTAGTCGCACTTAGACCCCTTTCAGTGAGAGATAAGAACAAGGGAGCTCTGCAGCCTAAGCTGAGAGCCAGCTGGAATTCTAGCTCAAGCGGTAGAGGCTCCTATACTAAGCTCCAGAGATTCCAGATTCAAATCTGCTAAGTGGCAGTTACACAGACAGGACTACAAGTAAACAGTGAGACAGTCTTAGTCACCATTATAGGTAGTGGTCTCTGTATACTAGCAGATTAACTGTTGTCATGTGTTCTGTAGGAATCAGGGATTTTTAGGGATGAATTCAAAGGTGGTAAATGAGGTAGCTTCACTACTGTTTGCAGGAAGCTCTTCTAAAGCATGTGGGGAAACATGGGAGAAAACACAAAGCTGTTCGACAATGTAATAAGTGGGCCATAACTGGGAGGCAAGCATCTTATTTCCTGCCTAACCACTACAACACTACATCTTAATTAAGTACATGTATTCGGGATTCTTGGATATTACAAGCTTAAGTTGCCCCTCTTACTTTATTTATACAGGTGATGGGTTCCTAGATGAGGGATTTTGTTGGACCAGGGGAGGTCATTACTAGCCCCCTGCCATCAGCTCTCCCACCATCAGCACTCCCTGTCCTGCCGACCCCACCAGGCTTTTGGCTCTGCCAGCGCTGGGCTTCTGACCCTGCTGGACAGCCCGCTGCCCTACCAATGTACAAAGCTTCCAGCTTCCAGCCACCAGCCCTCAACCCAGGACTCTCTGGTCCTGGAACATCCGTGGTCCATTGCCAAATCAGAAAGTTCCAATTTTGAGAGGCTCAACCTGTATAAATACAACAGTTTATGTATAGGTTTTAGTCCATACAATACATTATCTCAATAAAACTGTATTCTATGATTGGGAATATTGTATAATTTATAATAGAACAGTGAAATCATAAGTGAATACCTGATAGAGCAATAAACCTGTTAGAAAGACAAATTTATAGTCCAATGTTTTATACAAATCCTGTTACGTACAGTGTAAACTTTTCAATGAATATCTCATAAGGAATATAGTGCAAGTTTTAAATTAATAACCACTGTGAATCAAACTGTGAATCACAAATGATTATCCAACTTGTTACATGAATAAACTTGTCAAACAAATTCACCTCCTGTATACCAATTTCAAAACTCTGTACAATAAAACCATCATACAGAAGCTCTTGAGAAAGACCAGTACTAAATGAATAAAAGGAATACAACTCCTCTGTTATACCATAGCCATAGTTGTAGATTAGACTTACAAAGTTAATATATATTATACCGTTAACAATACCACTGTAGTAGGGCTCCTGTTTTAAATATTTTCTGTTTGCCCCGCAAGTTACAATACAGAATATTCTCTACTACCAAAGATCCGTAGCAACTTATTGAACTCATTTCAAGGTGTTTAGAGACTAATCCAAAATCCACTGAGGTCACAGCTCTGTATTAGGTCCCTCATTTTGAGACAAGCAGGAGACCTGCCAATAATAAATTTGAACACTCAATCTGCAGCTAATCTAGATCGTAGCTATCGACTTCACTCTTAAGTATGACGTTAGGGCCACTGCAAAAAATACATATCAATGCTGTTTGTTAATGCCCTGAACATTAAATGTGCTATGCACCTGCAAGTCATGCCAAAGTTAATAGGGCTTTTTGCTGTTGATTTCAGTGAAACCAGGATTTGAGCATTAATATGGAGACAACACTACTATTCCCAGCTAAACTCACAGAATACAAGGACATATGCTTCAAACATACTTGACAGTAACCTTACTCATGTAAAAAATGTGAGAAATGCCACTGAACTTATATATATTATAAAACTATTCACGGACATAAGCATTTACAGGATCTGATCCTTTTCCTGCATTCCCAAGAAAACTAAATGTAACCCCCAAGGATATTACCTAGATTTCTGGGGCTCTGTCTGCTGACAGTTCAGATAGAGGCACACTGTCCCTGGTAGGGAGGGGGAGCCAACGCAGACTCAGAGTCTGCCCGGCAACCAATAGGGAGTGAGATGCCTCTCCCAGGGAGTTCAGGAGAGGGGAGAAGCCATTTTGGGGGGAGGGGGGGGAGTCTGGAGCCAACCAAAGCAAGGGCAGGACTGGCTGTGTGCGGAGCTGGAAAGCCCCAGGCCTGTATGCAGGGTTTCCCCTGAGAACTGTCCTCTAGGGACCCGAAAGCAAGATCCCTAAGCTGGGCTTTTCCTTTCTCCATTCCTGATTCCCAGTTTGTAGAGTTTGCTGGGAAATTTCCCCAGCCAGGCTGAGTTAGCCCTTCAGCTCCCTAGCTGAGACCAGTCACCACATGGTCAGCTCAGCTCTGTCTGCTAGTTCAGGGCTGCTGCCTGCTGCGTGTGTGTCTGGACA